TTGTCGCAGATGTAAATTTAGCTATATATATTAACTGTAAGGAGATAAACACGGAAACAAAATTTGAAACAAAGTTGAAACTCATCAAGGGGAAAAAAAATTTGTTGCCAATCACAGAATTAAAAATAAATGATAAAGTGGCACATGGAAGTGTCTAGTAATTTATCTAGTTAAATAAGTTCTAAAAAATAATAGAAACTGCTTTCAATATAAACAGATGTTGTAACGACAGCCTCGTCCAGCAGGAGGCAGTCTAACCACAGCTTGACTTTTTATCCACATAAAACCAGAAGACATTGACGCTATCTGTTTTTTTTCTGTTAGCGGACAAGCTAACTCTGTTCTCCTGTGCAGATAAATGTTACAGAAAAAGGTCAAAATACTGAGGTTTTAAAGAACCTTAAATAAAAACCAGAAATTAATTAAAAATGTAGCTTGGATCTAACACATCACAAAAGTAGTTCCATCTGAATTCTCTGAAAAGTATTTTTCCAGTATTTCTGATACAGCAGTGACTGCGGTTTCTCCATTGACGTCATCGCAAACGACATCGTGAAGATCCTGAAGCCGTTTGATGGCGTTAGCCACTCTTTTGTTGACAGTTGAGACGTTTTATAGACCCTTAAAAAGTAAACATCTCTGGGTAATTTCATTTATTATCCACCTCATGTCCAGTAATAGGTTTAGAATGATTCTAATATGGAGCCGGTCTGCGTCTGTCGCGCGGTGGTCAGTGGTTATTTAGCTTACATTTCTCTTCATTGGTTTCCATATAATGGGATTTCAGTGAGAAAACCAGCATTTTCTAAAAGTAAAAAAAAAGTTGATTTGTGTCAATAATCTCCAAATATTTAATGTCAAAGTTGTTGTGACAGTTTCCTTCTTGTCAAACTTTACTGCAGTGATGATAATCAGACGACACCCGTTTGATACACCCCTCACTTCTGACATTTTCTTTTATTTCTGCAGCTAATTGCTAAAGAATGGCCGTTTGGAGTCTACGTGTGTAAACTGGTGCCGTTCATCCAGAAAGCCTCTGTGGGGATCACCGTCCTCAGCCTGTGTGCCCTCAGTGTTGACCGGTAGGTCGACCGCTGCACCACATGATCACACGATCACATGTCACAGTTATTTCTGCTGCATGTCTTTGTCACTCATAGAGAAAGTTATTTCTGCTGCATGTCTTTGTCACACATAGAGAAGTTTGCCGATATGTCAATATTGTCCAAACACTTAATTCTCGATTCTGATATAAGCTGAAATGCTGCCATCTAGTGGCTTTCACTTTCATATACAGCCGTTTTTCCTCTAAACTATTTTTAGGGTACACGACATTAGACGAAACCTTGGCATTGCATTATGGGGTTTTGAATATCGATAACCCGATAACGATTCTTACAGATGTTACACAATTATGCTAATATCGGGTGAATATTATCGGACGTCCCTAATTCCCGTTTCTAATCACCTGCGATGGTGTGTGTAGCTACCATGCAGTGACATCCTGGAGCAGGGTGAAGGGAATGGGCATCCCCGTGTGGAAGACGGTGGAGGTGACTCTGATCTGGGTGGTGGCGGTGGTGTTAGCGGTGCCGGAGGCGTTGGCCTTTGACCTGATTGAGTTACCCTACAGAGGACAGAAGCTCCTCGTCTGTCTCCTGCATCCACAGCAGACCAACAGCTTCCTGCAGGTAAGAGGTTCTCCACCTGTCAATCAAGCTGAACTTTGCCCGTTACCTCGACGACATTACTATTACAACCTACTACAACTGCCTAACACTAGCTACTTGAGATTCTTCTACTTCTAGGTCAAAGGTCAAGCAGACCTTTGTGCAGCAAAAGCTGGGATTGAGTCTGGCGGGGGCGAGTGGGGGGGGGCACAACGTAGAAGAAAAAGTCCCTCTACGACTTGATCGTTATATTTAAGTCTGACTTTAAATAACTTGTTTTACTACAAAGTAAGTCCAGTTAACCAGCTTGGTTTACTAACTTAAGTTAACTCTTAACTCTCAGTGACTTTAGTTAACGTTTAGTTAACATATAATTACTTACAAAGTCAGTCTCTGAATAGTTGTTTGTAGGGATGGTTCGAAACAACTTTTCATGTCCGATACCGGAACTGCATCGGAGTATCTGCCGATACCGATATCAATCTGATACGTTCTGTCTCTCCTCCAACGGCTGCTGTTGCTCAGGCGAAATTTTCACCAATATCGGACTGATACCGATCCTGCCTTTCAGATCGAGCCGTCCCTAGTCTTAAGTCCAGTATCCAGAACAGTGTCCTATCGTCATTGTTTAGTCATAAAAACTCAATACATCAATTCATTAACCCACTATAACGTACCATCAAACCAGAGTCAAAATATTACAACTTACCACAAGCCACAGATCCAAATCCACTCTGTGGTTTACGGGAGATTTAAACTATTAAATCCAAGTCGCCGTCACATGATGAAAACATTATTTTTTCATATGAATCACAGCTGCTACAGCAGTATCGCCTCAGGGTCACAGCCGCTGATGAAAGCCGTTTTCACTCCTTTAATTAGCAGAAATAAGTTCCACTTAAACGCTGTCAACGACTCATTATTCACGTTAGTCCACACAGTTTCACTGGTCACAGTGATTAGTTCAGGGACACAGCACACGCCTCAGCTGCATGTCAGCACTGTGGCTACGTGATGTATCATGCGCCCCTGTGTTTGACACTAGAGGCCGCACATGAGCGCATTCCCCTGAGAAATGGCCATAAATGGTTTGATTATATGACCGGTAACTGTCACCGTACATCACCGGTTCACCAGGTTTTACTGCGGAGCCTCCCTTTTCCTGATAACACTCGTGTCAAACCCCCTAACGCCCCCTCCCACACACCTGCCCTCTAAACTTTATAAAAACACAGTGATTGCTACAAATCTGGTATTTTGTTAAGTAAAAGTTTAAAAATGTTACATTTGACGTAGTTCACCTGGTCCAGCAGCTGCAGCTCATCAGACGGTGACAGTTTATCCCGTGACCTCACTGATGTGGACGGTTTCCAGCTATCGTTTCCTCTCCTTGATTCTGTTCGTTCCTGAACCGAGCTTTTTTTTACAGGGTATCAATAACGGCATAACGTCTTTCCTGTGTAGAAACATTTCAGTCACGGTGTGACGTTTTTTTCCCCTCCGTGGGTGTGAGTTGAAAAGGATGAGCCAATCAAGGAGAGGATGTGAAGATAAGTCGGGGTTATTTTCTCGTCATTAGTGGTCTGAGAGTGGATATAAATGAAATCACACACACAAACACACACACACAGATGTGTGGCAGATGTGTTGAAAAGCTAAAGAGAGAGAAAGAAAAACAACCTGAAAAATGAAAATAAAACAACCCGGTGTCACGTCTGTTGACGTGGCGTCGGCTCACTGATTAGAACAAGACCAATAGGGAATATTATGGGATTTGTTCATCTGCACCTGACAAAGTCAATCAACACAGTGAGTTCCTTTAAAGCCTGAGCCTGAAGGACAGACGTGTAATTGTTGTTCCTTCATCCTGGATGTTCTCTGTTCCTCAGCCAGCACAAACCTTCTCAGTTAAACACAGATCAGTCAGGGACATATAGACTGTGACCGTGACGTTTCTTGAGAAGTTGTTTGTTTTTATATATTTTTTATTTTTTTGTCTTTAAAAAGCTGTAAAACATGTGTGCATTTAAAGAAAGGGTTTGAAATGAATTGGGGAAAAAAAGTCATTAAAAAACATGGTTTCATGTTAATAACCATAACCATCTGTCACATTAGGCTAAAGCTAAGCTAATGTTATAGCTTAGCTGGCCTGGTTGGCAGTCCATCACAGCCCACAGTACTTGTTCTTTTTACAAGTGGAAGTGTTTACAACCAGGAATTATATAAGTGTTGAAAAAAA